TCCACTTGACAATGAACCTAATAGTAGGGGAATCCCTTGGTCTCACGGTAAATTTCTAAATGTATCCTGAGTCTGTTGCCAGGGTAGTGATTCTCATTCATCAAGTATCTGTTATGTACCTCCTCTGTAAGTGCTGAGTGCTAGGATAGAAGAATAAAGCATAGTCTTTGCCCCATGTAGGATAACTTGGTAGTATTCATCAATAGTATTGATAAAGCAGTCTCAAGTATCATTATTTGCTGCTATTCTATTTTGAATTATATAGGAAAGTGCTACAAAACGTTTTAAACAACACACTGAATATATTTTTACCTATTATATAAACATGATACTATCATTCCCTTACATAATCTGATTTTAACAGTGCACCTATAGATAGGGCAAATATATCTATAATTTACTTTAGAAGATATTAATTATTAGCTCTTGAGTTTTGATTTTTTTGTGAATATTAATTTTGCTATAGTATGATCATTAATATTTTAGTTTGTTTTTCATTTGAGTAGGTATATATCACCTTACACAGAAATGTTTTAAAAATTTCATATAGGCCGGCTCCGTGGCTTAGCGGTTAGGTGCGTGCGCTCTGATGCTGGTGACCCGGGTTCGGATCCCGGGCGCGCCCCGAGGCACTGCTTCTCCGTCCAGCGCGAGGACGAGTCCCACGTACAGCAACTAGAAGGATGTGAACCTATGGCATACGGCTATCTACTGCGGCTTTGGGGGGAAAAAAAAATGAATAAATAAAATCTTTAAAAAAAAAAAATTTCATATAAAATTTGTAATTTTCATAATTTCATCTGTAATTTCAGAAGTTCGTTCAAAGGAGAAAATAATATTTGATAAATTTCTGATACAAAGCACTATCATTTGGAAAATTTTACCTGTCACTCCATAGTTTATGTTCATTTAATATTTCTGTTATAACCGTAGGGAAGTTAGTCTACAGAATCTTTGTATACTAATGTGAATGTGAAGTTCGTGTTGTCATTATTGAGCTTAAATCTTGAAATTGATTAGATTTTTATGTAAAAATTTTTTTTGGTATTTAGGGGTATATCATGTTACATTTGAAGGAGAACTTGAAGATCATGTAATAGGTCAATAATTTTGTTTTCCTTGTAAGGAACCTGAGACTCAGAGAAATTAAATGATTTGAGAAATTAAATGATTTGCTTAAGGTCAGACTGGAAATATAGTGGCAAAGTCAGAATGAAAACTCAACTAATTCTGTGCAGTGTTATGGGGGTATTCTATAGTGGAAACGGGTTGACTTTCACATCACAGTTCAAATCCTGGCTCAGCCTCAATTAGCCACCTTTCTGCCAGAAAAGTTAAGGCACTCAAAATTAGTAGGTGCTTTCTCTTCTAGCAGCTTATTCATGTTCAACAGATTCCATTAATCTGTAAGAGCCCCTGGGAGTTGTGACCATATTTTATCCATTTTTGAAGTATTTTCCATAGAATTGTCATTCCAGTCACTCCCAGCTGAATAACTTATAATGAGACAACTTCTGAGACTACTTTCTGTATTTTGCAAATCAGGGTCTCATACAAACTCTGGGGTAAAACTGTAAGGAATGACATTATTATTCGTTTATTTTTGAAAATCACAGTGAATAAAATTTGTTGGTGCTAAATACTTGTTCTAGTATTTGACCCTTCTCCTGAATCACTTGTTTAGTAAACATTTGGTCTCGTTTGTTCAGTAAACATTTCTAGGATATAATGTTTTGTTGACAGATTGCCTTTTGAGTTTTATGTAACATGAACTGTATCTTTCTTCAAGCCTCTTGTCCTAACTCCCCTCCTCAAAGTTTTAAAACCAGTTCTTACCGGCTTAAAATATATGTCACATACACATATGTATGAAAAATAACCAATACTATTCTATAGATAAGAGAGATAAGGTGAGTTTTACGTGAGCCAAACTGAGGATTATAACCCAGGAAGGCCTTTTCCAGAAACAAAGAAAGCTTTCCAGAGAAGCATGATTTTCAGTACAGTCTTATACCGTTTTAGAACAAAGAATCATACATTAAACACACCCAAGGTACCTATTCATCAAAGTTTCAAAGAGGTACTCAGCTGCAAATTAGCAGGTCAACATGAGCCTGATTTTGCTAAAGGGACTAATGTGGGCATTACCAACAAGGCGTTACCAGTAGGGCATAGGAGGGGAAGTATGCATTCTTATCTTAGGAGAGTGCATTCTTTACTTTAATGGTTAAAGCAGATGTGCAGTGTACGTTTGATAGGCCATAAGTCAGGCCTTTTAGTTCAAGCCAAATCAGTTTTGAACCCCAGTAATTACCCCATATACTTCACTATGTGAAATCTCTTATCACACACGTATGTATGTGTACATGTGGGTGTGTGTTTGTTTATGTATCTGCACTCTTTGTTTTGATTTTGTTATCACCTGGCTTTTTCATGAAGTTTCCTGGTGCTTAAAGTATCATATGTTCATTTGAGCCTAGGCTTGTATGCATATATGAGAGATTGGCATAAAAACAGATTTCTTTTTTCTGTATTCTTGTAGACATGAATGTGTGGTCTTGAGGAAGGTCAGTCAAGCAATAATAATTTATGTAAAGCAGTGTTTCTTTGTCATTTTGTTTGAGAGAGATGAACCAAAGACATAAACCTAAAAAGATTACAGATTTTAATGTATTGGTAATGCATTAGGACTCTAGATTGAGAATGATAATTTGGAAATTCTAACTGATTTAAAGAAGAAGGAATTTATTAATACATAGAACTGAGAATACTGAGTTAAAGTGTGAGTGGATCCAGGAGCTCTCACAATGTCATTGGAAATATCACTCTCTTTTGTTTTATTTTGTGTTAGCTTTATTTTCTGGCAAACTTTCCTTAGGAGTGGCAGTTATAATTATCAGCAGTTCCAGGCTTATCTAGTCAGTCTAGCCATGGTGGAGGGAGTGCCTCTTTTTCTAATAGCTTCAGCCAGTCAGTAGCTTCAATAAAAGTCCGAGGATCAAATCCTTTTGGCCTAGTTTTGATAAAATGTCCCAAACCAATGTTTGTGGCCTGAAGGATGGAATGCTCTGGGCAAGTCTGTGTCATACGTTCCCTCCTAAAGTTAGTGGTGCAGATGGATAGGGAGTTAGGATTGAGATCAGCTCTGTATGAACCACATGAAGTAAAAGTGAGGGGGTGGAAGTTTCTCTAAAGGAAAGTCAGGAATCTTGTTACTAGAAACTAGGTAGATAAGAATGTTCACTATAGAATAAAAATATTATAAAACTGTGTTATATAATCACAGATTGGTGAAGGATTACTACAGTGCAAGATTCCCTGCATGCCTTAGTTGAGTGGTTCTCAAATGTTTTTGCATTTTAAAGTCATCTGGGAAGCTTTCAAATATCTTGATGCCCTTGCTGCACGCCAGACCAATAAAATCAGAATTTCTGGGAGTAGTACCCAGGGTTCTGTATTTTTTTTTTCCTGAAGCTTTCAAAGTTTGATTTTAGTAGATAGCCACGCTTCAGAATTGGAGCATTATAGCAGTGCCCCTCAAACTTTTCAGTAGATTAGAATCATCTGGAGATCTTGTTTAAAATGCAGAGTGCTGGGGCCCACCCCAGAGATTATGATTTAGTAGATCTGAAGTGAGAACTCAGACATTTCTAAGTGGTGCTGTGTTGAAGGTCCTAGAACTATACTCTGAGGAGTATTGCATTAGATTGTTAGCATCTTGAAAATTTGCCAGTTTTAAGTTGTTTAATTTGTAGATTATTATAAAGTCATTTTTTCACCTGCTAGTCCACAGACTATTTGGTAACTTATTTCTTATTTCTGTTTGGTACACTTATTCCTTGATTAGCATTTGCTGTACTAGGTTCTATAGATACAAAAGTAGCGTGGACACAGGTATACACAGCTTCAAATCGTTTTGTTGTTGCATCAAGAAGATTGATTCTGACATCACAGAATCCTAACGTTTGTTCAGAGAATTTGTCTTTAACGAAGTTATAAAAATTAACTCATAGAACTCATTTATCTGCCCAGGTACCTTTTTACTTTAGTTCCTTTTTGCCCTTTAACTTCAGTGACTTCAAAGGCTCAAAATTAAAATGATTCAGTGTGATTTAAATGTATCTCTGATTAATGTCTGTGTGTGCCTTGAAGCCATTTATAATTGTGTATTGTTCTCCTGGTCCCAAATATTGGTTTTTTTTTTTTTTTGTGAGGAAGATTGGCCCCCGGCCAAACATCGCCCACCCCCCTCCTTTTTTTTTTTTTTTTTTTGCTGAGGAAGACTGGCCCTGGGCTAACATCCATGCCCATCTTCCTCCACTTTACATGGGATGCGACCACAGCATGGCTTGACAAGCAGTGCATCAGTGCACGCCTGGGATCTAAACCCACGAACCCCGGGCCGCTGCAGCGGAGCGCGTGCACGCAACCACTTGCACCATCGGGCCGGCCCCCACAATTGTTGTTTATATAATCAAAATAGACCACCTACGTCCAGACACTCAACCCCTTTTGGATGCAGTGTTTAATTGTCGTATTAATTGTAGGTGTCTCTTCCTACTGATGCTTTATTTTTTTTATTTTTTATTTTTTTAAAGATTTTATTTATTTATTTTTCCCCCAAAGCCCCAGTACATAGTTGTCTGTCATAGCTGCACATCCTTCTAGTTGCTGTATGTGGGACGCGGCCTCAGCATGGCTGGAGGAGTGGTGCCTCGGTGCGCACCCGGGATCCGAACCCGGGATCCGAACCCGGGCCGCCGGCAGCGGAGAGCACGCACTTAACCGCTAAGCCACGGGGCCGGCCCCTTACTGATGCTTTAAACGTTTGTTTGTCTCTCCTTGTGAGAGTTGACATGCCAAATCATTTTGAATCTTATAAATGGTAAAAATAAATCATGTTATAAAATAAATGCACACTAGTCATTTTAGTTTACCTACTGATAGACAAAAACTGTATGCTTAACATTTTCTTTTTATGCTGTTTTGTTTTTAAACAGGCTAATAGCACGTCAGCTTGCTAAAATCCATGCTATTCATGCACACAATGGCTGGATTCCCAAATCTAATCTATGGCTAAAGATGGGAAAATATTTCTCTCTAATTCCCACAGGATTTGCAGATGAAGAAATTAATAAAAGGTAAAATCACTGTTACATTTGAAAATATGTTTTACATTGCTTTACGCTATATTTAGGGTTTCAAAGATAACTACAGGATTTCTGTATATAAAGTCTGGTTTGGTTTATCTCTTTGCATTTAAGTAAAATAAGCATTGATTCATTTGATTCTCAGATGGCACTATAGAAAAAACTGCCTCTCTCTCCCCCAGCCAACTCGGGAAAAAAACCTTAAAGAACTCTACAAAAATGGGGAGTAGGAAGCTGGGTATAAGTGAGGGGCAAGAAACAAATATAGAACATTTATTTCAAAGTAAATGTAATATAAAGATTACTATGAATGGGTACAGTTTTGCATAGTACGAGTTGGCCATAGAGGCATTTTAAAAAAAATTTCTTTTGTTCAAAGCTATTTTGAGTGGGTCTAGAGATTGACATTGGGGCAATATAGTAATACTGGAGTGTGAACAAGTTTGGGTTGTATTAGTTTACTGTGACTATTTACGTCCCAGATAATAAGGTTGAAAATTCATTTACTGGAGTCTTATGCAGCTTTTGTAAGACTGACTCACCAGGTTCAGACTGAGTCAGAAATAGCATTATTTTCTGTATGAAAATTTTGTAAATCAGTATTTAGAATCTAAATCATATGTACCTATTTTTACATGGTGTAATTAGTACTAGTATAAAAAATGGAAGTTTTCTTTTGTCTTTTATACCTAAAACATACATGAAGACTTCACTTTTGTATTCAGAAAGTTTTTAAGACAACAGAGGCAAGCAGGACTTACAGATTATTTTCTTGTTTCTTTTTAGTTTTTATAATTCATTAGGGAAAATAGCTGTACTGTTCTGTTGAATTTGATTATTTCAAAGATTAGTTTGATTCACTCTGTGTATGTGTTTGTAGTTGTAGGTAGTTTGTCAAATTTTGAATTTGATAAAGATATTATACCCCTTTAACTGAGATAGGCAAACATCTGCCAGTGTCCAGTATGCTGGATATTCAGGAAGTGACAGCATAAAAACAGAAAATCCTCTTTTTGAAATAGCTATTTTATTGAAAGATTTGGGGGAAAACCACTTAAAAATAATGAAGTAGATGGCAATGGTGAATGCAAGATTTTCTTGACTTTTTAAGGTAATGCAGAGTTGAGGCAGTATAGTATTTATTGCGTGGGTTAAGAGCACAGGACTCTGGAGCCAAACTGCCTGGGATCAAATCTCACTTCTGCCGTTTAACAGTTCTGCTGTGTGACCCTGGGCAAGTTACCTGTTTCCTCACCTGTAAAATGGAAATAACAAGAGTAGTATATTTACCTGTAGGGTTTTTGTGAGGATTAATTGAGTTAGTATATATAAAGTGTTTAGAACAGTGCCTGGCCGTGTAAGTGTTAAATAAATGTTAGCTGCTATTTTAAAAATTATTATTATTCAAAGGAGGTTTTTTAGGTAGGTTGGGGGTTATATTTCCTAGATTCTCCAAGGTATATTTTAAATTCTTGAGGTTAGTGATAATCTGGAAAAGCTGGAGATGCACTGTGATAAATAACAGTGAAAGCACCCTGCTCCAATCGAAAATATACAACACTAGAACATTAAAAACAATTAAAATATTAAAAATATTTTCATATTTTCTGTTCCTTTTTGTACATGATTTTAATTTTTAAATTTTTAAAATTTTATTGAGGTCACATTGGTTTATAACATTGTATAATTTCAGGTGTACATTGTTATGTATCAGTTTCTATATAGACTGCATCATGTTCACCACCAGTAGTCTAGTTTTTATGCGTCACCATGCATATGTGCCCCTTTACGCCTTTTGCCTATCCCCCCACCCCTTTCCCCTCTGGTAAGCACTAATCTGTTCTCTTTATCTGTGTGTTTGTTTATCTTCCATGTATGAGTAAAATCATACGGTGTTTGTCCGTCTCTGTCTGGCTTATTTCACTTATCATCATACCCTCAATGTCCATCCATGTTGTTGCAAATGGGACGATTTTGTCTTTTTTTATGGCTGAGTAGTAGTCCATTGTGTGTGTTTGTGTGTATATATGAATACACACACCACATCTTCTTTATCCATTCATCAGTTGATGGGCACTTGAGTTGCTTCCACATCTTGGCTGTTGTGAATAATGCTGCAGTGAACATAGCGGGGCATAGATCTGTTTGTGTTGTTGATTTCATATTCTTTGGATAAATACCCACTAGTGAGATAGCTGGATTGTATGATATTTGTGTTTTTAATTTTTTGAGAAATCTACATACTGTTTTTCAGAGTGGCTGCACCAATTTCCATTCTTCCCAGCAGTGTATGAGGGTTCCTTTTTCTCCACATCCTCTCCAACACTTATTATTTCTTGTCTTGTTCATTTTAGCCATTCTGACAGGTGTGGGGAGATATATTATTGTACTTCTGATTTGCATTTCCCTAATAATTAGTGACTTTGAACATCTTTTCATGTGCATGTTGGCCATCTGTATATCTTCTTTGGAAAAATGTCTGTTCATATCCTCTGCCCATTTTTTGATCTGGTTGTTTGTCTTTTTGTTGTTGAATTGTGTGAGTTCTTTATATATTTTGAAAATTAACTACTTGTTGGATATATGATTTGCAAATATTTTTTCCCAGTTGGGTCGTGTTTTCGTTTCGTTCGTGGTTTCTTTTGCCTTGCAGAAACTTTTTAGTCTAATGTAGTCTCATTTATTTTTTCTTTCGTTTCCCTTGCCTGAGTAGACATGGTATTCCAAAAGATGCTGCTAAGACCGATGTCAAAGAATGTACATCCTATGTTTTCTTCTAGGAGTTTTATGGTTTCACGTCTTACGTTTAAGTCTTTAATCATTTTAAGTTAATTCTTGTGTATTGTGTAAGATAATGGTCTACTTTCATTCTTTTGCATGTGGCTGTTCAGTTTTCCAAACACTATTTATTGAAGAGACTTTCCTGTCTCCATTGTATGTTCTTGGCTCCTTTGTTGAAGATTAGCTGTCCATAGATGTGTGGTTTTATTTCTGGGCTTTCACTTCTGTTCCGTTGATCTGTGTGTCTACTTTTGTGCCAGCACACATGCCGTTTTGATTATTTTGAAGTCAGGGATTGTGGTGCCTCCAGCTTTGTTCTTTTTTCTCAGGATTGCTTTGGCTATTTGGGGTCTTTTGTTGTTCCATATAAATTATAGGATTCTTTTTTCTGTTTCCGTGAAGAATATCATTGGGATTCCAATTGGGATTGCATTGAATCTCTAGATTGCTTTAGGTAACATGGACATTTTAACTATGTTCTTCCAATCCATGTGCATGGAATAGCTTTCTGTTTCTTTGTGTCGTCTTTGAATCTTTTCTAATGTCTTATAGTTTTCAGTGTATAGGTCTTTCACCTCCTTGGTTAAATTAATTCCTAGATAGTTTATTCTTTGTGTTGCGATTGTAAATAGGATTGTATTCTTGAGTTCTCCTTCTGTTAGTTCATTATTAGAATATAGACATGCAACTGAGGGCTGGCCCCGTGGCTTAGCAGTTAAGTGCTTGTGCTCTGCTACTGGCGACCCGGGTGCGGATCCCGGGCGTGCACCGACACACCACTTGTCTGGCCACGCTGAGGCCGCGTCCCACATACACCAACTAGAAGGATGTGCAACTATGACGTGCAACTATCTGCTGGGGCTTTGGCAACTATCTTCTGGGGCTTTGGGGGAAAAAAAAAGGAGGAGGATTGGCAATAGATGTTAGCTCAGAGCCGGTCTTCCTCACCAAAAAAAGAGGAGGATTAGCATGGATGTTAGCTCGGGGCTGATCTTCCTCACTAAATAAATAAATAAATAAAAAAGAAATGCAACTGATTTTTGTAAGTTGATTTTGTACCCTGCAACTTTGCTGTAGTTGTTGATTATTTCTAATAGCTTTCTAATGGCTTCTTCAGGGGTTTCTATATATAGAATCGTGTCATCTGCAAACAGCGAGAGTTTTACTTCTTCCTTTCCAATTTGGACACCCTAATTTCTTTTTCTTGCCTAATTGCTCTGGCCAGCACCTCCAGTACTATGTTGAATAGGAGTGGTGAGAGTGGCCACCGTTGTCTTGTTCCGGTTCTCAGAGGGATGGCTTTCAGTTTTTCACTGTTAAGTGTGATGTTGGCTGTGGGTTTGTCATATGTGGCCTTTATTATGTTGAGGTACTTTCCTTCTATACCCCTTTTATTGAGAATTTTTATCATAAATGAATGTTGGATCTTGTCACATGCTTTCTTTGCATCTATTAAGATGATCATGTGGTTTTTATTCCTAATTTTGTTAATGTGATGTATCACACTGATTGATTTGTGGATGTTGAAGCATCCCTGCGTCCCTGGTTTAAATCCCACTTGATCATGGTGTATGATCCTTTTAATGTACTGCTGTATTTGATTTGCCAGTATTTTGTTGAAGATTTTTGCATCTGTGTTCATCAACAATATTGGCCTGTAGTTTTCCTTCTCTGTGTTTTCCTTGTCTGGTTTTGGTATCATGATAACGTTGGCCTCTTAGAATGAGTTAGGAAGTGTTCTGTCTTCTTCAATTTTTCGAAATAGTTTGAGAAGGATAGGTATTAAATCTTGTGGGAATGTTTGGTAGAGTTCTCCAGAGAAGACATCTGGTCCTGGACTTTTGTTTTGGGGGAGGTTTTTGTTTATTGTTTCAGTCTCTTTACTCGTGATTGTTCTGTTCAGATTCTATTTTTTCTTGATTCAGTTTTGGGAGGTTGTATGAATCTAAGAATTTATCCATTTGTTCTAGGTTGTCCAATTTGTTAGCATATACTTTTTCATAGTATTCTCTTCTAATACTTTGTATTTCTGTGGTATCCATTGTAATTTCTCCTCTTTCATTTCTAATTTTATTTATTTGAGCTTTCTCTCTTTTTTTCCTGGTGAGTCTGGCTGAGGGTTTGTCAATTTTGTTTATTTTCTCAAAGAACCAGCTCTTAGTTTCATTGATCCTTTCTATTGTTTTTTTAGTCTCTATTTCATTTATTTCTGCTCTAAATTTTATTATTTCTCCCCTTCTGCTGACTTTGGGCTTTGTTCTTTTTCTAGTTCTGTTAGATGTAGTTTTAAGATTACTTATTTGATATTTTTCTTCTTTGTTGAGGTAGGCCTATATTGCTATAAATTTTTCTCTTAGCATTGCTTTTGCTGCATCCCATAAAAGTTGGTATGTTGTGTTTTCATTTTCATTTGTCTCCAGGTATTTTTTGATTGCTTCTTTGATTTCTTCATTGATCTAATGGTTTATCAGTAGCATGTTGTTTGGTCTCCCTGTATTTCTATCTTTCCCAGCTTTTTTCTTGTAGTTGATGTCTAGTTTCATAGCATTGTGGTTGGAAAAGATGCTTGATATGATTTCAGTCTTCTTAAATTTATTGAGTCATGCCTTGTTTCCCAACATATGGTCCATCTTTGAGAATGTTCCATGTGCACTTGAGAAGAATGTGTATTCTGCATTCTGTATCCATTTTTGAATGGAATGTTCTCTATGTATCTGTTAAGTCTGTCTGGTCTAGTATTTCATTTAAGGCCACTGTTACCTTGTTGGCTTTCTGTCTGGATGGTCTATTCACTGATGTAAGTGGAGTGTTGAGTTCCTGTACTATTATTGTGTTGCTGTTAATTTCTCCCTTTAGGTGTGTTAATAGTTGCTTTCTGTACTTTGGTGCTTCTATATTAGGTGTATATATATTCATAAGTATCATGTTCTCTTGGTGGAATGTCCCTTTTATCATTATATACTGCCTCTTTTTGTCTCTCATTGTCTTTTATCTTGAAGTCTGCTTTGTCTGATGTAAGTACGGCAACACCTGCTTTCTTTTGCTTGCCATTTGCTTGGAGTATCATCTTTCATCCCTTCACTCTGAGCCTGTATTTGTCTTTGGAGCTGAGATGTGTTTTCTTGAGGCAGCATATTGTTGGGTCTTGTTTTTTAATCTCTCCAGCCACTCTGTGTCTTTTCATTGGATAATTTAATCCATTTACATTTAGAGTGATTATTGATATATGAGGGCTTAATACTGCCATTTTATCTCTTGTTTTCTAGTTGTTCTGTGTTTCTATTGTTTCTTTTCCCTTGTATTTCTGCCTGTCATTTGGTTTGGTGGTTTTCTGTGAGGGTTTTCTCTTTATTTATGATTTGTGCTTCTGCTCTGATGTTTTTGTCTGGTGGTCACCATGAGGTTTGTATAAAAGATCTTATAGATGAGATAGTCCATTTTCTGATAGCCTCTTATCTCCATTAGCCTAAGCAGGTTCCATCCCTTACCTCATCCGCTTCTGAGTTATTGTTGTCACAAACTGTTCTTTTCTGTGTTGTGAGTTTGTGAATAAATTGAAGTATTTATAGTTATTTTTTATGTTTTCCTTCCCTTTTATGTTATAATTAAATGTTTATGAACCTATTCTGATATAGAGCTGCAATTTTCTGATTCTGTCTATTTATTTCCTTGCTCAAGGTTTTATAAACCTTTGCTTTTTAGTTTCAGATGTTTCTTGTAATGCAGGCCTACTGGTGATGAACTCCCTCAGCTTTTATTTATCTGGGAAAGCTTTTATTTTTCCATCCTATCTGTAGGATTGTTTTGCTGGATAGAGTATTCTAGGTTGAAAGTTTTTGTCTTTCAGTATTTTGAATATATCATTCCATTTTCTCCTAGCCTGTAAGGTTTCTGCTGAGAAATCCGCTGAAAGCCTGCTAGGGGTTCCTTTTTAGGTTATTTTCTTCTGCCTGGCTTCTCTTAATATTTTTTCTTTGTCATTAACTTTTGCCAGTTTTACTATTATATGCCTTGGAGAAGGTCGTTTTCATCTATGTAATTAGGAATTCTATTGGCTTCATGAACTTGTAAGTCCAGTTCCTTCCCAGGTTTGGGAAATTCTCAGTTATTAGTTTTTGAACAAGCTTTCTGCTCCTTTCGCCCTCTGGAATGCCTATAATCCTTATGGTGCTTTTCCTAATTGAGTTGGCTATTTCTTGAAGGATTTCTCCTTTTTCAAAAAATCTTAGTTCTCTCTCCTCCTCCACCTGAGGCATTTCTATATTTCTATCCTCTAAATCACTAATTCTGTTCTGCTATAACGTCAGCTCTATTTTTTATGAATTCTAGATTGTTTTTTCTCATTAACTGTGTTCTTAATATCCAGAATTTGTTTTTTTTTTTTTTTTAGAGTTTCAATCTCTTTGGTGAAGTATTCCTTCTGCTCATTAATTTTATTTATTTAGTTTTTATTTTTTGTGAGAAAGATGAGCCCTGAGCTAACATCCATGCTAATCCTCCTCTTTTTGCTGAGGAAGACCGGCTCTGAGCTAACATCTATTGCCAATCCTCCTCCTTTTTCTCCCCCAAAGCCCCAGTAGATAGTTGTATGTCATAGTTGCACATCCTTCTAGTTGCTGTACGTGGATCGCGGCCTCAGCATGGTCAGAGAAGCAGTGTGTTGGTGCGTGCCCGGGATCCGAACCTGGGCTGCCAGTAGCGGAGCGCGCGCACTTAACCGCTAAGCCATGGAGCCGGCACTGCTCATTAATTTTATTCCTGAACTCGTTGAACTGTCTTTCTGAGTTTTCCTGTAACTCGTTGAGTTTCTTTATGATAACGAATTTGAATTCTCTGTCATTTAGATTGTAAATTTCTATGAGTTCAGGATTGGTTTCTGGATAGTTGTCTTTTTCCTTTTGCTCTGACGTGATACTGTAGTTCTTCATGGTGTTGGATGAAGTGATCCTTGGCTGGCTCATTTGTGGTAGTATCAGGTTGCAGATTCCATCTGCCACCGCTGTGGGGCAGGAGCTTTGTTTTCTGATCCCACCTCGTCTGCTGGAAGTTGTGCCGGTAGGGCTGCTCTGCATTTGTGTGCTGGCCAGAGCCGCTTGGCGGGTCACGCTCGCTTGTGGAAGTGGGGCCTCTGTGCTCTGCCAGTGGGTTGCTCTGGTGCAGGACCACTGTGACTGGCCAAACTGATGCACTAGATGAGAGGGGACAGGTGCCTTCTTTTGTGTGCAGGCTGGCCCTGCACTTGTGGGTAGCTCTGCTGAGCTGCTGCGCTTGGTGGGGGCTCCTTAGTGGGGGCCGAGCTGTGCCACTTGGTGGTGAGCATTCCCACAGACAGGGCTACGTGATTGTAATTATCATCTTCATAATCCTTTGAGTCTTATTATTTCTATTCAACTCTGTACTTTTTAAATAGATTCTTGAACAGTTACAGCATTTTGAAAATAGCGTATAAGGATTACTTTTGGAAGCTTTGTATAGAAAAGAATGCAGTAGTGGGGGAAATACAGGTAGCGACCACTTGAATAGGCAAATTCATTAAAGTAAAATCAGTGATACAGAATCTTTATTGTCTTGTAAAATGGAAAAGTAAGGGATAATATGAGTGACCATAGTGAAAGAATGAAGAGAACTTGGCTCAAAGTATTAAGAGAAGAAGAGAAAGAGTAAACTAATAGTAATTTTGTAAGCCTGATGGTACTATTGGGGAATTAGTGGTGGCACCCTATTTTTGTTTCATTTTATTGTTATCAAATGAATAGAAATATTGCATAATAAACAGTACAAAAGAATGTAGGATAAAAAGCTATCATATCTTGTCCTGCTTGCTACAGTTTCTCCCACCCTTCCTGATCTGACTACTCTGAGGTAATTTCTATAATAGATAATATGAGTGTTCTGTGATATGATTATCATATGATAATATGATGGTTAATGATTATATGGTTATTATATGATAATATGAGTTGATTTGTCAATAGTAGATAATATCTATTGAGTTTAAAATGTGAATTTAGCTGATTTCTACTACACTCACCCTTCTAAGCATGAAGTAGATGTTTTAGTTCCTTAATGGACCGTCTTTGTAACTTATTATATAATATGCTTAAACCTCTTTTCATTAAACTCTTTGTATCTTGGTTTCCCCATCTATAAAATGGAGATAAATGTAAAACTTTAAGAATATTGCTTAGTATATGTTAGCTATTAGCTACATATATTTTTTTTCCTCCCCATTTTGTAGTGATATATTTTTTACTTTTCTGCTCTGCATTTTAGTTATCACTCAGTTTCTTTTTATTCATGTTTAAGTTCATCGTAAAGGTTTTTCTTTATTCCAATTTTGGAATTAATTGGCTTGTTTTAATTCAGGAGTCAGTGTAATTAAGTGGAAAGAACTTAATAAAAATAGATTTTAATCCTTACTCAAACTTAAATGTCATTATTATAAACAAGATATAACTTTTCTTTTAAAACTGAAAGGTTCCTAAGTGATATCCCAAGCTCTCAGACTCTTCAGGAGGAGATGACTTGGATGAAGGAGATTCTTTCCAACCTGGGCTCACCTGTTGTGCTTTGCCATAATGACCTATTGTGTAAGAATATAATCTACAATGAGAAACAAGGTAGGGATTTGAATTTAGCAGTAACTGAAGTTGATTTCTTTTATGTTCTTAATGGTCCTTTGATCTTTGTGTCAATAAATAAATTTAATTCAAATGCAAGGGTTAAAAACATGCATGACATCTTTCAAGTTTTTCTTTTAGGTTTTAAAGTCTTCGTAACTGCTAAATTAGGAATATATGTTCTCTATGTACTTGTATAAAATATGTTTCTTAGAATTGGTTTATTAAGAAACAGTTCGTGATTCCTGTTAGAGTTTTAAATGAAAAATGATAAAATGACTTTGTTTATAAATTTAACTGTAAAACCTATTTGGTAATTCATGGTTTGAAAATGCACCTGCTTGTAATGGGGGTTATTGAAAAACCAACTGACACTGCACTCCTTTGTAAATACAGGAATTTTCTCAGTGTTGGGAAGGACAACAGTATTAGAAATAAATATGTCTCCAGGTTTCCTCTTACTTGTTTATTATGCTGATTTGTTAGATATTTTGATGCTAAGGAGAGAGCCACAGATGGAGGAAATGTTATTTGTAGTTGCTGAAATTTATTTCTACTAAAATAATAATCAAGAACCTCTGGTAAATAATTTTTGAAGTAGACAGTGATACATTTTGGTGAAATGTTTTTGTGATTGTTCATATCTTGCTGTATTCAAATTCTCTATGTTTTCATGTATAAGAAACACTTGATTATATTACATTATTGGATAAAGTGCTTTGAGGTTTGGTTGCTAAATGATAGATGCCCTTCAATACTAAATTGAAATTTAAAGATATAATTTTGGTTGAAGGATTAGTATTAATTCAAAATGTCTGTTTGAAACTATGAAGCAATTGCATTTTATAAAGGAAACCAGTTTTGAAGATAGTCATTATAGTTGGAAGATTATTTTGAATCAAAAGTGTGCTGTTGTGAAGATACCGAAGCCAAAGAATTCTGATTAAGTGGTCATAATTATATTAAAGAACTATTTATGGCCATCCTTATTAGATTGTAAGTTGAGACCATACTAATGCAAAGATTGTTAATATTTGTTGCTGACTTTAACTTGAAGAAAACCAACCAAAGAACACTGTCAAGAGTGGTAAACTGAAGCACATATTTTCAAAAACATGTTTGAGTACATTGTATATTTGGTATTTTAATGTGGATTAGAGATTCTATTTTGTAAAAATATACTGAGCTAACATCTTTATTTTGAATGTCTTGCAGTCTTTGTGTGGAATAATATTTTTTAAAACTTCAGGTGTACCCTTACGTACTTGACAGTGTCCTTTAATTATTGTCCATTTATTATATGTAATTGTCATAGTATATATGTACTACATTATATACTAGTAACCAAATCTCAAAGCCATTTGTGAGACAAGTATTAGTTATGCATTAAAGCGATGTGTTAGCTTTTAAGTTCAGTGCAAGACCTAATAACACATTATTTTATATAATAGAATTTCAAGTGAGGGACTTCATCTTACGTTTCAAGTGGACACTCAGCTTTATTTTTAACTGCAAGTTAATCAAAGAGAATCTGTTATTTCCTTTAGAATATAATTTTAACTTTTCATATTTTTGTTTTATAAGTTTTTGCATATTCATTTCACAGAACAAACTTATTCATTAAACTAAAACATAAGGGACCAAAAAAATCAGATTACTTTGTCTTAGGTATTTAAAAAATGCGTTTTTACTTTTTTGTTTAGCCAGCTGCCTATCTAAACTATTGATTAATGATATGAAAAGTTCTCATATTTTCAAATAAAATCTTTATGCTTTAGTTTGGCTTTAAGAGTTCAAGGTTGTCATTTGTTTATTTTACCAAGAATTACCTAAATCATACTTTTGCATCTAATTTTTCTTTCCTACACAGAAGAATAAATTTCACAGTTCAGCAAATGTAACTTATGTTGATATATTTTTTAGAGTTTGCCCTTCATAGAAATCTTATTGTGTACCATTTGTTTCTTCTTGTCTTTGTGTTTATGTTTGTGTGTTAGTTATGGAGATGTTCTGTTATTTTTTCTTTCCATTGGTTTATGTCCATTAGGAAGACTAGTTTGGACTCTGTGGCCTCCATTAAAAAAAAAACTATTTCTATGTGATTAATTGATACATAAGCATTAAGAAAATATGGTTGGAATGTTGTTCAGGTAAAAATCTAAAACTCATGAAAGTGTGGCAAGAAGCTTGTTCTGTTTATTATTATCTTACTCTGTTTCAAATTCGGAGCTGATGGTTTTGAAGTAATATAACTGTATGACATATTTGTCTTTAGTTATAAGGAGATACCATGCTTCATACTTAAAAAAATGTAAATTCTATAAATTTAGTACATTTAATAAGTGAAAAATATGTACATTTGAGACTGTAGCATAGCGTTAGTACTTAGAGCTGTAATCTCAAGGAGGATAATTAAAATTAGAATATAGACTGCAAAGTTCTTTACCTTCTTAACTGGTTACTTTGTTATAGCATCTAAAAAGCCAAGTGTTAATTCTTTTGAGATTAAAATAGTTTCTACATAGAATAAATAATTAAGCTGTGTATTATATTCACAAACGTGTTTGATTTGTTATCACTTTTTAAGTGCTTCCTGTGATTTGAACTCAGGGCTTTACTATTTTGAAACCCACCTAGGGGATATATAAAAATTATAAGATGAAAGCCAAGGGACTGGCCTTCAAATCATCAAGCTCAGTATCTCTCTCTAGTGTTTTTAGACTCTTAATTTCTCAGAAGTGCAAATTTTAATTAAACTTCATGAATTTATACTCGATCATCTTGAAGGCTGCATGATTTTTCAACTATAATAATTTAGATTTTGTATATTGTAACTAGATTCAAAATTTCTAAAGTAATTCTTAAAAGCAGATGTATTCAAGCTTAATTACAACCATGAGAAGTCAGAAAGAGTATAGATTTTGGAATCAAGCCTACTTGTGTTCAGATCCTTGCTCACATATGGGAGTAAGTGGTAATTAGATAAGTCCTTTTATCTCTTTATTAAATGTTCATATTTGATCCTTGACTTTCTACACCAGAATCACATAGGGTACTTGGAAAAAAATGCAGGTTTCTGGGCCCCATCCAAGACCAACTGTGGTAAAGAATTTCTATTGATGGGCTTAGGAATATATATGCGTGTTTAACAGATTTCCAGGAAGTGCTCATACTATTGATAGTCTAAAACTTTGCTTTATTTGTAACTTAGAGATAATATCTACTTCAGATGGTTCCTGACAAGATTTTAGATCATGCATATAAAGTATAGAGCACTGGGCTATGTACTTATTTTATTAGCAGCTCTCATTTGCAGCTATTATACCATGATAGAGGTTGATAAACTCTGTAAGGGGCTAGATAGTTCATATTTTAGGCTTTGAGTACCATATTATAGTCTCTTTTGCAACTACTCAACTTTGGTTGAGGCACAAACACAACTAGATAATACATAAATCTATGTGGCTGTGTTCCAGTAAAATTTTATTTAGAAAAATAAGCAGGGGGCTGCCTTTGTCCTGAGCATACATATTTTGCTAACACCTATATTATGTTTATAGGATGCATTTTACAAAATGTATTGTTTCTGAAAAAGTGAAAATGTTTACTATAAGGCAGAAGGTTAACTATGTCCTATAAGTAGAAGATTTATGCCTCATGGGTAGGAGATGACAGTTCAGTTTGTCTTAAGTGCAACTTACAGATTCTATCATAACTATAACTTGAGTGGTTAAAGTTTAAAAATGTGTATATGTATTTTTAAGTACATATTTATACACACACACAAAGACACACACGAAGACTATGAGCACCCTGCAGCTCATAGGCATTTTCACATGTGAATGCTACAGGAACTGGTAGGCATCACAGGAAGAAATACTGCCTCTACTTTTTTTCACCATGTCAGTTGACAGGACTCAGGAATGTGGGAGAAGAGTGAGCTTCCTTTCTGAAGTTGATGGTAGCTGTCAAGATTTTTGAAAAGTTAGTCAGTGCCAGGAATTAGGTGGTTGGTAAACATCGGCTCATTCCTTGCCTTCAGTGAAATGAAATGACATCTTAAAAAGGTAAGAAAAGAATACTTAATGATATGATGATAGAATTTATTACATAATAAGAAAACCAAAAGCAGTGGTTCTTGCTCCAGAACTGTAAGATAAGACTTACCAGTCATCTTTTAAATAAAACAATAATTGATTTTAAAAAATGTTTGCTAAGTTGAACAGATCGTAACATTGCTTACTAAGTGACTTCAATTCTAATATTTTAATTTCAATTAATCCTTAACTGCTGACATGTTATAAGCAATTGCTAAAGCTTTTGAGTTTGTTGTCTCATGTCTTGATGCTCTGGCAGAGTGTTTATTGGTGACTGTTTTGTTTCTCCCCCTCTTCCCCATATCTTCATAAAAGCTCATGTAAAGATCTAATATATAACTGTAAATTTCAGTAATGGCAATCATTGATTATTTTCTCTGTCAGCTAAATACAAGAAGCTGGTTTACAGCTATTTAAGGAAATATAAATGAGAAAAAGAAAAAGAAAGCCTTTTCCAAGAATTATAGAGTAAACTGGTTTTTACAGTTTTACACAATATAAATGGAAAATGGATGTCACCATTCTTAGTTACTTGATTGGCTCTAAATCTTATCCACTCTGTTATTATTCATGAAAAGGCATTGTTGTGGTTGTGGTTGTTTCATTGATGTTTTAATGACTTAGGAGAGTTTTTTTGTTGGTTTTATTTTAAAATTTAAGTAAATACAAATTTATTTTTATATTTTGGTAACTTATATTTTCCAGGGTGGAGTTTTTATGAAGGATAACCTTAACCTTGTTTTAACTTGTATTCCAGATCACTATTTAGCATGAAATAAAATATCCCTAAATCAGGTAATAAAAAACTTAAATGGACTGTGAAAACCTGAACTCTTAAGGAGGAGCTTTCTAAAGTAGTTATTAGTTTAGTGTTTTTTCTTTACTCATACATTCAGTTCCACTGTGTGTTTAATCATATACTTGAATAAGAATGTCAGAAATGCCACACTTTGTTCTTTAGTATTTCATGCTTATCCCCCTCTTCTCCCCATTTAAACATGTGTGTTATATCATTGTGTCGCAGCATTCTCTGCAAAATCTCCATTTACCCCACTAGCATTTGAATACTTCCTGTGTGCTAGGGATTGCTCCGTGGATTGCGTGATGAAAGGTGAAAGGGACCTTCTGCCCCTCCAGGAAGCCATATGCCATGTAGTGGAGGAGTGAGATCACAAAACAGACATTTACATTCAGGATGATGAGTGCTAAGGTGAAAGTGTACACAGGGTACTACTGGATGCCAGACTGAGGGATGAAGGGACAGTTTCTCAGAGCAGAATACTCCCTTTTTCTGTGTGAGAGAGAAAGCAATTTGTTAACATTAGTATAATCATAGTTGCTTTTTCTCTCTGTTCTCTTTCTGCCTTAGTTAACACTGCAGAGCAAGTAGAGGGAGTTGGAAAGATTTTCAGGTTCTCGTATTAGTGATTTTGCTTTTTATTTTTATCTTTTTCTCCCTAACAACAGCAAAATAAGGGAATCCAAATGAATATGTCATGTGAATTATATAGCCTTAGTTAATAAACTAATTGTTTTAGTTTGAAAGTACTTCAATAATTGTGCAATTATTTTCACCTATACTGAGATTTGAATAATTTATTTAACTCAGTAGTGTGTGATTTCATTACTGCGAAGATATGCAAGAAATATAGCAATAAAAAGTAGCTTTTGAAAATTCAGATTATAGTTTTATTTATTATGAATCTTATGCTTTACCCATTATGTACTAGTCAGTGTGCTAATTATATAAAGATAAATGAAATATAGTCTTAGTGCTTAAAGTAGTACTTTACTTTTTTAGAGGTCAAGGATCCCTTGAGAATCTGGAAAATTGAAAATCCCCTCAGAAAATACACATACACGTAGAATTTTGTATAAAATTTTAAGGAGTATTTTCATTTTCTTTTCATCTTTGAAACCCCAATTAAAAATTCACGTCTTAAAGGATTAACAAGATAGTCATGTCGTATGAGCTATTAATTACTAATAGTGATGTGGATATTTCTCTAAATAATTAGAAATTTTAGAAATCAAAAGCTAAATTTGTAGAAGAAAAAAAGTTCAGTATACTTCCTGTTGGTAGGAAAGCCTTTTCCAGTAATTTGATTTTTCTGGCACCCGAAATAAAGGAAGCAGGCCTCTTTAATTTTACTTTGTTGCAGAAGATTAAATTTAAGGTTGAGTTCCACTTTGTTTGCAGTAGTTTGAAAAAGATAGTTAATGCAGATTTTTAAAAAAAATTTTTTCCTTTTAAGCTTTGTGTCTTGTAAAATGTGAGTTTGCCAAATTTTCTTCATCTGCTACAGATTAGGTATGCCATTGTTGCTGCCATGTGGCGGCGCACCCCGTGCTTCTTAAACGCACTGACTGGAGGTTTATCGCATCACTTGTTCACATGCACGGAGCCTGGTAACAGCCTCATCTGTATCTTGTTAGCTTCATTTTCTTATTTTTTAAATTTCATTATTTATAAACTCAACATAGCATTTAAAAATAAAGGCTAGTTTTAATGAATTAATGCTACTACAAAAAGTTGTTGCTAAAATTTTCATACTGAAAGAGATTAACTTTTGTTAAAGTGATCTATGCTTATTTAAATTGTATTTACTTTACAAGCAGGCATGTTTTACCTGCCATTTTAACTATATTTGCCAAATTCTAAATATAATTTTGAAAATTGAAATTGAAGCTTTTGTTTATGTGGCAAAAGTAAGCTTCAGGACTGGGCTGTGTATTTTTATTGGCATGTAACAGTTAATATGAGCTCTACAAGAATTTGTGTTTCAAGAGCTAAAGCAATCAACAGCTGCAATTTAAAAAATTATATGTTAAAACTGTTTGGTTGGCTCAGTTGTGCGACTTGGTAAATTGTCTTGAATCCTGATTTCTTGAAGGCCTGATGGATAGGTATCTCTCACATCATTGTGTTTAGTCTCTTATCTATTGACAGTTTTGTTTAGAGAATTCATCTTAATCTTTTTAAACTATCACTTGTTGCCCTCCTAAAAGTAGTGTTTATTGTAAAGAATTTAAAATATAAGGGATAAAAGGTCACTTGTCTATCACCTGTAATGAAACCAGTGGAAACATTTTATTTTGGTTTATTTTCATTCATCTTTTTTTCCCCTATGCATTGTATGTTTTTTTCTTTCTTCAGGCATAATATCTTAATAATTCGGATCACTGTGTTTACTATTTTGTATCTTTTTTCATATAACATTTGTAATTCTCCTGGTCATTAAATAATTTTTGAAACTGAAATTTTTTTCATGGCTGTAAAGTATTTTGTCATGATGGTGGTCTTCACCCTCTCATTCCTAGTGGTACCTAGAAAAAAATTTAAAAGTATGCTCGGACTTTCCATTCTGCAATTTAGTAAAGTGATTTGGTTAAAACATGTTCCATCTTCCCATTTTACAGTTTAGCAAAATGATTTGGTTAACTTTAAGACTTTCTGTGGGATAGTTTTTTTGTGAATTCAAGAATATAATACTTGTGGTGGTTGAATTGCAATGATTTATTATAGTCAACATTTTAAAACCTTATATTTATTTTGTGAGTATGCATACAGATTTTGATACTTTGATGATTCTTACTTATTTTACTCTAGACTTGGCTATTATTTATACAAGTTTAGAATTATATATTAACAATTACATTAAAAAATTTTTTGCTTTTATGTAAAATATTCTATTTGCCATGACATTTTTTGGTCATATAATTCTGTTTTTCTAATTTGAATATGATCAGCATACATCCCCAAATTAAACATATAAATCTATATCAATACATTATAGTTCAAAAGTTCCGTTATTTGAGAAATGCCAGTGTGTGTAGACCAGGAGTTTGTTTTGATACCTCGGCTTGATGTTTAAAAGACAATGTAACTAGGCATATGCTATGCATTTTCTTAACATAAGCAGCTTAGAAACAATCCGTACAGCCAACTCTGTTCATGTATTCATTTTAACTATTTGCCCCTGTTAAGCCTTCGAGTTTGTGATGCCTGGTGTAGACAGTGACCCATTTTGATTTTTTTTTTTTTAACATTTCTCTCTCTCCGTGTTTTTAACTTTCTCTCTTGCCTCTCTTTTAAAAAATGGGACCTACATCTTTGTTGAGCCAAACCCTCTATAATCTCAGTACTCAAAAAAGAGGAGTTCCTAAACAAGAGTATGTCCCTTGGGCAGGCGTAACAAGATTGTCTTTGGAAAATTGTAATGAAATATGCATATATATATTTAGCACTAATTTAGAATAGGAATCTATTTAGCTTATGTAAAAATTTCTCAAGTTAGAAAACATTTAAAAGCAACTATACTTTTGCCCTTTTTAAATGATAAAACAGCTACCTTAATGCTGCTCAGGTATGCTATTGGAAACCTTAGGTATGTAGCATTCCAGGAAAATGTAAGCATTTGATAGCAACTAATTTCTTAAATTAGGGATATTGTTAAGCTGATCAGCAAGTGTTGTTATAGCATAACTGTAGGGTTCACAGAATTCAAGTCTTTCAAAGTTTACATTTGGTTTGCACGTGTAGATTAGCTTGTCAATTCATTGTTGGAGTATTATGGATTAATTTTTTGTTACAATTGTATAGATTATTAACAGTTTCCAAAGATAGTTTTCATTTCTAATTAAACTTGAATTTTTAAGTAACTGATGCCCCCGTGTGGTGAAAGACATAGTTTGCTTTTATTTGAACTTGGAGAATGACTATATTTTGACTTTCTTTAATATAGTGGACATTAATGTTCACCAAGAAGCTGTTGACCAAGATACATAATTTGAATTTTGTAAAGCTCATTGCCATAAAATTCACAGCCTTACCCTGTACTGTCTCAGAAGTGCATGTAACCAAGCACAAACAATGAGACAAAATATTGGAAGCTATTTAATTACAAATAGCATAGGGATTTTCTGATCTTACATGTGATTTCTTATGTCTTTGTTTTTGTGTCTCACATAGGTGATGTACAGTTCATTGATTATGAATATTCTGGATACAACTACCTGGCATATGATATTGGAAATCATTTCAATGAATTTGCAGGTAAAATCTAGGTTTAACTTATGAAGTAGCATATGTAACTTTGAAATGATACTTTTAGAATTCTTTTTTTGTTATTTAAAGATCAGCTGGGAGCAGGAGCAACATTTTTTTTTTTTTTTTGTGAGGAAGATCAGCCCTGAGCTAACATCTGTGCTAATCCTCCTCTTTTTGCTGAGGAAGACCGGCTCTGAGCTAACATCTATTGCCAATCCTCCTCGTTTTTTTTCCCCAAAGCCCCAGTAGATAATTGTATGTCATAGTTGCACATCCTTCTAGTTGCTGTATGTGGGACGCAGCCTCAGCGTGGCCGGAGAAGCAGTGTGTCGGTGCGCGCCCGGGATCCGAACCTGGGCCGCCAGTAGCGGAGCACGTGCACTTAACTGCTAAGCTACGGGGCTGGCCCTAGGAGCAACATTTTTTAACTTCTTCTTGACCTTTTTTCTTTATTTTTGGAGAAAAGAGCAGATGACCTCTTTCTTAATTTCTTAAGGAAAATAAGAGAAAAATAGTGATTGTGTCTTCTGTTAAGGCCTGACATAGTGCAAGGTGCTTCATAAATCTCATCTCATTTTTTTCTCAGAACAATCCTGTAAGTTAGGTAATATTCTCAGTTTCCGTTGAGGAAAGTAACTTACCAAGGTCACAGTAGAATACAGAGAGCTCAGATTTGAAACCAATTTTTTATCATTTAAAAGCCTTTGCTGTTTCCATTGTGTACCTGTGCTTTTGGAATGTTGGTTAACTAAAATGCTCAAGAATTCTTTTTTTTTGTCTTGGCTACGAATAATTGAAAAGTTGATCATTTTTGCCCCTGAAAATTAATCTGTTATCACTGTTAAGTATACAAGTTTTAGGGCCTGGCCCGGTGGCGTAGTGGTTAAGTTCACACGCTCTGCTGTGGCAGCCTGGGGTTCACAGATTCGGATCCCGGGCTCGAACCTACGCACCGCTTATCAAGCCATGCTGTGGCAGGCGTCCTACATATAAAGTAGAGGAAGATGGGTGCAGATGTTAACCCAGGGCCAGTCTTCCTCAGCAAAAAGAGGAGGATTGGCAACAGATGTTAGCTCAGGGTTAATCTTCCTCACCAAAAACAAAACAACTAAATAAAAGTTTTAGTTTTTTTTTTATGTAAGTGGAATTAATTTAAAATAAATTTTATGACTGTATTTAGAAACATGAAATGCTCTAAAACTAAAGATTAGGAAATTCTCCTGGATGGTTTATACCTACTAGGAATTTTTCATTGCTGAATTTGTATTTGTATATATTCATGCATTCATATATTTTCATATACTTTACTATACCAGTTACCAGACTGGGAGAAAAGTTGGGGAAAAGTTTCAATTTACATGTTTTCAGTTATTTCTGTCTACCAAGCTTATTATGTACATGCCATATCCCCACATTTGTGCTGTACGTGTTTTCACATATCTATGGGAAGGGAAAGCAGCAGTGCATATATGAGATATACTGTTAGTAATATGGATAGTCACTGCTGTGGATGTGAAAGAGGAAACTCCAGTGATCTTAATACGATTTTGTGTAGAAAAATTGAGTTAAAACTTGAAAGGTAGAATTTGGATGTGCAGATAGAAGAGAAAGGTGGGCACTGCAGAAAGAAGGAAGAAAACTTCAAGGTGAGTATACCTATTTTTGTAGGATATAAAATTCATGGAGAATAGAGGGTTATAAGATCAGAGAAGTAAGTTTGGACCAACTTATGAAGAACCTTGAATGCTAGGCTAACTAGTATGAACTTTATCTTCTAGGTTAGTATTTTTCAAACTGCAGATCATGAAATTAAATTTGTGGGGTAATTATTTTAAAGTAAGTGAAGGAAAAGAAAAGAAATAGAAAATATCAGAGTCAGAATGTGTAGTTAGGGTAAATATTGTTTGGTGAAACTTAATATAGGGTGTGTGTTTAAGTTTCAATATAAAAGGTATTCCATACCCCATAATGGTCAGAAAAGCTTTAGAGCCACAGTTTTAGGAAATGATCTAAATATTAGTGTGCATAAGATTTCCTGGGGGTACTTATTAAAATGAAGATTTGTGGCTTGGGCTGCAGGTGGTTCAAGCTTCACACTTTGCAGAAAAATCGAAGCCATGAGAATTGATTATGATGATCCAACTGTATTGTGCTAATTAGAATTAAAGTTAGAATACATTATGATTGTTTGGTTTATTATTTTAATAAATTTTATTTACGTAATATCTAGTATTTCAGCCAAAAATGGATACATTTTATTTTTTCTGAAAAAAATATGTAAATGGTAAGATAAATATTAAAGTATGCAGAAGAGAATGTATTTTTAAAATCTTCAGGGCCGGCCCTGTGGCTTACTGGTTAAGTGCGTGCGCTCCGCTGCTGGCGGCCCGGGTTCGGATCCCGGGCGTGCACCGATGCACCGCTTCTCTGGCCATGCTGAGGCCGCGTCCCACATACAGCAACTACAAGGATGTGCAGCTATGACATACAACTATCTCCTGGGGCTTTGGGGAGAAAATAAATAAATAAAATCTTCAAAAAAAAAATAAAAAAAATAAAATCTTCAATGTACTTTTTTTCCACTTTAGGTGTGAGTGATGTAGACTATAGTCTTTATCCAGATAGAAAACTACAGAGCCAGTGGCTGCGTTCTTACCTTGAAGCCTACAAAGAATATAAGGGCTTTGGGACCGAAGTTACTGAAAAGGAGGTAGAAATACTCTTCATTCAGGTCAATCAGTTTGCATTGGTAAGTTTAAATGTAAACAACAAATGAAAAATTCTTACTGTAATTCAAAAAGCTTTTAAAATTTTCATCATCTTATAAAACAATTTCTCATTTTGAGTTTTGTTAATTTTTGTTCAAAATAATGACAAAACACGATTGTTTACAATTCCCCCATTATAATGCTTTTGAGGACAAAGATTTTGTTTCATTCACTACTGTGTCCCCAGCCCCTAGAAGGATAGTACCTGGCCACATGGTAAGTGCTCAGTAATTATTTGTTTAATGAGTGGGTTCTAGTTCGAGTTAAAATTAATGTATGAAGCAGCTTTTTATATTATATCTATTCTTTTTCTTTACCTTATGAAAAACATGTAGTCAAGGACAGATTTATGGGAAATGAGGTTTTCCACAATACATTTAATCATCACATTGTAATGTTAACATGATAAAAGTAGATTTGAAGAACCAGTAGAATTATGTTTGTCTTATTGACCTTCTTTTGATAAGCAGTTATTTCTAGCTTCTTTGATGTTTTAATGCTTTACTATTATTATTTTCAAGACTCACTTTTCTTTACTCTAAATGCATTTATTTTTTAAAAAATTACTTCATTTAAGCGATCTTTTGAGAATGACATGATGCATTAGAATGAGCTTTCAGCTAAGGTGTTAGACAATAAAATTGAATACCAGGTTAAAGTTATTTTAGCTACTTCTTTTTAGTTTTAGTATAATTCTGTATAATTGGCATGGGAATATTTATGTAGTCTTTACAAATAGACCCTGTTGGTGGCTCACAGGTGTACTGTTTCCATAGTCTTAAGAGCAGCATTTCCCTAGAGCCATTCAGACTACATCTCAAGTAAGAGAGTGTGCAGAAATCTGACTTTACCTGCTGTTCTGATCCTGTTTTCAGCAGAACTGTTGATTAAATTAATAACGTGCTCTCCAGCTGGTCCTAGGATACTTGCTGTTTCTATTTATTTAAGCATGATCTTAAAGTAGAGCATGCAGGGCTTTTCTGATGAGGTCATTTAATGAACTTCAGAATCATCTTAATACTTCTGTTTAGCCAATTTCTGTATTAACCTGAAGAATATTATTGTTGATATAATTTGTATTTTTTCCATGTACTAATTTTAAAGAAATTAAATTATTCCTAAGGCACTGAGTTTGTTAATTTCCACATAAAGTCCACATTGCTTATAAATTCTTAGTCAGCAATCCCACTATTTACTATTAGAGAGTTAACTTGGGTTCCCTTGTAAACTTTTGATGATGTTTTAACACCTTTGTTTGGATACTGTGGTTATATATATATATGCGTGGTATTGAAAAACACAATTACTTCTGGTTTGATCACCAGGTTGATTATAAATATTCATTAATCAGTTAACAAGTACTTATTGTTACTCTAGGTCGGGTAGATTGAAGGCTTAAAAAAGAAATAAAACATAGTGTATTCCTTGAAAGTGCTTATAATTTAGAAGGGCAAATGAAATGTACAAAATATCCTTTTTTGGGATGAAATTTAACACCCAGCCCTGTTTAAAACTCTTAGCAAATTAGAATTGGAAGGAAACTTAGTTAACCTGATTAAAAAAAGATAATTTAACCTAATTTTTTTAAAAAGAGGATATATCTTGAAACGTACAGCAAACATATTCATGTAATGTCATATGTTTAGTAGAAAGTCTTATGGAAAAAGGATAAAGGATGATTGATAGAGACATAAAACTTCAATACCTTTTTAATATTTATTCCTCATTTAGTATGTCTTCAGAATTTACATATTAGTTTTCACATAAGCAATATAGTAAGTTTATTATACTCCAAGATTCTAATACCAATTCCCAGTTCTTCTTCGTTAAGAAACCATTGAAAACCATTTATTAAGTCAGTTTTGTTTTGAATTCCTCTTCTTCTTTTATCTAAATTCTGCTGATCCTCTGCCATGTGCTTTTCTAGAACTTTCTCTCCTTGACCTTTCTCTTCTAAGGTGGGTTACTTTCTTACATCAGGGCCTCTATTGCTATCTTCAGAACAGAAAGAATATAGCAGAACTTAGCTGACTCACACTTGGCTTCACCAGCCCCTCTCACTAAGATTACTAACTCTCCTTTTGATGTATCTTCCTTTCTTTTTAAAGACTGTTTTTGTAGCTTCTTTTTAGCAAGCCAGTTTACCTAACTCTCTTATCAGCTCTTAATTTCATCCTACCGATCATTAAGTAAATGTCTGTCACAATCTCAGGTGTTTGAATGAGTAAATATTTGGGAAGTTAGGGTGAAATAAAAGCACACCTGCAATCTTTCTCTTTTATCATCTTTTGTGCACTTCTCAGACTACTGCAATCTGTCTTCTCCCTCACTATTCTAAAAAAAAAGATTTGGATCACGGTTACCAATAATGACATAATTGCTAAGTCCAATTTAAACTTTTCAGTCTTCATCTTACTTGATCTGTCCATTGCATTTGACAGTATTTACCATTGATTCTTAGAATTTTCTCTTTCGTTAACTCTTGTGATACCATTCATCCTTGGTTGTCCTCTTTTGTGCTTTCCTTCGCAGTTTCCTTCCCTGACTCCTTTTTTGCCTCCTCTTCCCCCAACCCACTCACATGTTAGTGTTCCCTAGTGTTCTGATTTTGGGCTCTCCCTCCTCCTTTCACTTTATATACTTTCATTGGGTGATCTAGTCCCATAGCTTTTATTGCCTTTTCTGTTAATGATCCTAAGTTGAATTTCCTCCCACTGTTGAGCTCCAGGTCAGTACCCACTATCTCTATCCAGGGTCCTGTTGGTATTTGACCACAGTATGTCCAAACTTTAATTTTATTTCATGCATCCTGTCCTCTATCTCATTATTTATCCTTTATTCTAGTCTTGATTTAATTAAAATACTGTCCATTCAGTTGCTTTATTTTGAAAACCAGGAAAGAAGAAATTTTCTTTCATGTGTTCCTCTTCTCCATTCTCACTTTTTTTTTTAATTTCCAAGTTCTATTATTCTTGTTTTCTAAAATTCTCTTAATTCCAACTCTTTCTCCTTCAATTTTATGACCTTTGATTAAGGCCTTAATCTCTCATCTTTTTCAGCCTTTGCTGGTCTCTTTACCTCTAGGTTTTTTCAATCTGTGATTCATCCTGTACATATAAAAGTGATCTTTCTAATAACTAGAATCAAATTCATGAATCTGATTATGTCGGTTTCCTACTTTATGGTTCCCTGTGACGTACAGAATGAAATCCAAATGATAATATCTACAAATTCTGTCTTATTTCCCACTTTTTTTTTTTTTTTTTTGGTGAGGAAGATCAGCCCTGAGCTAACATCCGTGCTAATCCTCCTCTTTTTGCTGAGGAAGACCGGCTCTGAGCTAACATCTATTGCCAGTCCTCCTCCTTTTTTCCCCCAAAGCCCCAGTAGATAGTTGTATGTCGTAGTTGTGCATCCTTCTAGTTGCTGTATATGGGACGCGGCCTCAGCATGGCCAGAGAAGCGGTGTGTCGGTGGGCGCCCGGGATCGGAACCCGGGCTGCCAGTATCGGAGCGTGCACTTAGCTGCTAAGCCACGGGGCCGGCCCTATTTCCCACTTCTCACTTCTGCTCTAGCAGAGTCATCTTGTTTTCTGCAGTCTGTGATGTATGAAGGGAGGCAAAAAAAGGTTTGAAGAAGATTATAGATATTTTTAAGTAAATGATTGGTAAATGTTTATTGCTCAGGGCATGCTCTGACTTTAGACTTCACTTGTTATTGATTGTTTATTATAATTAATTAATGTTGAGGACGTGACAAACAAAAGTAAGTATTTGCATTATAAAACCAAATACAGTGTACATATGGGTTTTTTAAGCTTTGAGGAATTTTTAGACACATTGTTTACAGACTTCAGATTCTAAGTAAAATATTATATAGCGGTTTTTCAGAAAACAGTTTGAGGATTCATTTTAGTTATTTAGCTTTGAATTTTCCTTTGCAACAGAGGTGAGTAGCCTAGAAATTAAAATGCCCTTTGATAGAGAGTCTTACACATATTCATAACTTATAAATCAGAGAGAAATAGTATAAGTAAATCACAATATTGTATTATTTTATTTGGACTTAAAGATTCTCTCTTTGCCAGTTTTGGGACTGCAAATGATGAATGGTCTATTTCCTACATTTCCTTTTCATCCATTTAAGAGTCTAATGTTAGGGCCGGCCCCGTGGCTTGGTGGTTAAGTGAGCGCGCTCCACTGCTGGCAGCCCGGGTTCGGATCCCGGGC